ATTGTGATCCCTGGTATCAGTGTGTTGTATACGGTGTAGATCATAGAAATTGTGATCCCTGGTATCAATGTGTTGTATATAGTGTAGATCAGAGAAATAGTGATCCCTGGTATTAATGTGTTGTATACGGTGTAGATCATAGAAATTGTGATCCCTGGTATCAATGTGTTGTATACGGTGTAGATCATAGAAATTGTGATCCCTGGTATCAATGTGTTGTATACGGTGTAGATCAGGGAAACTGTAATGCCGTTCATTTTTGTCAATAGAGACCATATGCTTTTTGATTAAAAAAATAACCATTCGAAACAACTAAACATGTTGTCAACTTGCTTTTATGTTAATAATAAATATATTAATCTGTTTATTGTGCAAAAAATTCATATTATTGCTGAAGTTTTTAGCTCTTTATTCATCTTTATCCAGTTCCACATATTTTTCCTGTGAAAACTAAAAATAATTGTATGAAAAGCAAAGATTTGCTTGTAGCTACTTATATCAATATATTATGGACAAATCAAGAAGCGGTTGATTTTAATGTATAAAAAACAAAAGCCACTGGAATTGTATTTTTTCACAATAAGCATTCCTGTAAACAAATTGTGTGGTATACAAAATATTTGATTAAATAAAAATATACATTTTCTTTTAAAGTTTTAGAGGGTGAATTTTTGAGAGCAGGATTACTTTAAGATAAATGATTGATTTGCTATGAATTCATTTTTAGCATAGTGGATACTGTCATGTACACCATATATTTGTCAGTGTGTGGTGCATGCTTGTAATATGACATTCGATTTTTGTAGTGATTCAATAATAAACGTCTGATATGGGTTTTTACTTGGCACATCAGCTGCCTTCTTTGTATTTCACAAATTAGGTACATCGACAGTTAAATCCTTCAAATTGGCAAGTCTGCACATATATGGGGATATCTATAATAATTTGTTTCTTCGAAGATGATTTCTATAAAAAAAAATCCAATTTGATGAAAAAAATTTGCAGTGATTAGAATAGTATGCATTCTAGTTGCGTAACCATAGTGATATGCTGTAAACACTAATTTGATGGCTGATAGACACATCAGGTTTCCCTTACACATATGTTATTTTGAAAGACTCCAATTCAACTCTTCATTGAGTCTGATTTTGTCTGAGGCTATCATACTAGATTTGACAAAGAAGTCAGAGAATCTCTGCAGGATCTTTTATTGCTTCACCATAGAAGACCCCATCATTGACGCATGGACAAAATCTCAAGTAAAGGTCATGATATTAACTTTACAAATATATATCATTATATATCTGTATTTAATCCTGCGTTTTGATCATGACAAAGTGTTTTTTTTATGTTATTTTATTTAAATGGATGAATGTTGTATTGTTGGTTAGTAATTAGAACTATCTCAGTGTCAGGTTGTCCTCTGTTCAAAATTGCTAATGTCTTAAATGGCAGCCAGTTTTTTTGTTTTAAATTTTCAATGCAAGATATAGTCTGTAAAAATAAATGAATAATTGATGAGTTTATTTGACTGAGTTTTTGTTAAATTGATGGGCATTGCAACACGTAGGGACAGCAAGATGAATAAATTCATTGAATCATGTGTATATCCTGACTAATACATCTACACCTGTCAAGGTGTCACAGTGTTCTTTATTTCTTTTTTTCATATATTAAATCTTCAGCCTACTATTTTATAACAAACTTGACTTGTCAACTGTATAAAATTATATAAAAATATGCAAAAATAATGGTGGAAAAATTCTGATTTTCAAAGACTGAAAGGGGATTATATAACTGGTAATAACGACTTTGCTATGAAGATTTCAATAAATCTAAATATTTTCTTGCATAAAACATTTTAAAATATTTATGGCATAGCAAAAATTCTTCACTGTTCATATGCCTGCAATGTAAATTGGCTTGGCTTTTCTGTCAGTTTGACAATTTTACTCAGTGAGTTGCCTATATATTGCTGGATTATGGTTTTTTTTTCATCTTGAAATATATTTACGTGAGCAAACCAGCAAAATCGTGTCATTATTTTTTACGTGATTTCAATGGGGCCATCATTGGCTGTCACTTGTGCTTCTTCTCATATGTATTCCATTGTTAAGTTGAAATTAGCTTTTACATGAAGGTGAATGGATAAGCTTGTTTTTTTTTTTTTTCTCAATATGGGAAGAAACGCAATACACATCTGTCTTTAGAAATGAAAACAGTGTATGTTTAAAAATGGATGTCACAGCTTTTTTTTTTAATATTGTCAGGAATCTTAGAAAAAAATTAAAAAAACATTAAATTTTGTGGATGAATTTAAATTTACGACAATTTTGAAATTAAACCAAAGAAAACATGTGCACATTGATGTTGGAAAACAAAGTGACCAAAATACTGTTTTTTCATGTACTTCTAGAATGTACATCCATTATGAATTGCTCTTTGGTGTATTCCAATTTCATGGTGTATAAAATAATCTATTCTAAATATTTTTATACTTTGATAGGTAAACAGACATATTTTCTACCTGAGTGAAATCTGTTTTATTGAGCTGACTGTTTAATGGTTTTATCAGTTAGTTGTCCCATGGAGCTGACTGTATACATGTACTAACGTCTACATCAGTCAGTTGTTTCATGGAGCGTTTAAAAGTATATTATAAGCGTTGTGAAATTATGCTATGAATAACGATTTTAAAAAGTTCATTTCTATGAAGAATAAAAAAAATTGGTTACTTATTAGGTATGGCGTTCTAATTTTAATGTACGCAATCAAGCATTGCAATGAAAAGCAAATTGGCTGCTTGCACGTATACAATGTATGAAGTATACTATTTAGCCAGGTTATTTATCAGGGAAAGTGTGAGAATTGTCATTTTTAGGGTTAAAATCAAGCATATGGTTTTAATTGTGTTGTTGAATTTTAAAATTGCTGAAAATAAATGAAGCTACTGTGTTTTTGTATTGCATTTTATATTTTCCAGGTCAAGTATTCTGATTTATAGTGAAATCATCTTTCCTTGATTAATTTCAGTATTCCTGGATTTCTTTCATCTCATTTCAGGTGATAACTAACCTCTCCCAGTCATCATCATTATGGATGGAGACGCTACCACTCAGCAGACAGGGGTGGTCGATGGTGTAACAGCTGAGGGGCAGGTGCATGGAGACCATGTTAAAGGTCAAGACGTAGGTGGACATCACGGTGTATCGTCTGTTACAAATGCACAGCATGTCATCACTGGCAATCAGGTAATTCCTATACTCTTCTGTCTCCATGCTGGTTTAGCACAGATGACATAAAATCTGTCTTTGTCAGATACAGTGTTCTTTAGGTTTACCCATACTTCTGTTGCTTCTCTGCAACATTTGATAATAGCATGAGAGTTCTTGATAAAATTTGAATTCCAGTACCTCTCATAATGAATCACAGCCAAACTATAGATCAAATAGTAATATGCATAAAGCCTTTTATCTCCTGTTATCTAAATTAAAGCGACTTATGCTAATTGTTTTCAAATCTATCTCATCAATAAAATACTGAACCAATAATGCATTGGTGCAATATCTGCCATATTTTGAGTATTTATTATACTTTTTATCATAACACATTTTGTTCAATTTTACTGACGGGTGATACATAGTTTAATGGTTGTTATTGAGGTTAAAGGCATTTGAAGATATCATAGGTTTGTGTGACATTTCTGTATTTGTTCTTTGGATATTTATTACTAAATCTAGTAATCACATTTCTTTTGTATAGCGACTATTTGTGCATGGACTTGCATTTTGTATTTACAGAGCTGTACTAAATATACCTGCACAATCCTACATCGTGTAGTTCACTTTGGATACTGCAAGACTCAGAATTAACAATACCCTAAGGCATGTGTGCACACGCTTCCACTTTATGTATTCATTTCAAAAATAAGTAGTCCAACTGGACTACTATAAGAATTACTAAGAATTAGGAATTTCTCTCCATCAATTTATCAAAATACTAAGATATAGTAAACTTTAGAATTAAAATCTTCTCCAATATGAAAATCTCACTTGAGGAAAAATTGCCAAAATTGAAGAAATTTTCATATAGTATGACAACTGTGTATGGCTTCAAAAATAAAAATTAGAAGACTACCGATTGTTATTTTATATGGATACCATCTATTGAAATTGGCATCCCAAACACGCTCCCAGGGGAAAATGTTAATTTTCAGCCTTGTATTGTGTTATGTTTAAACAGGAGCTAAAACCGAGAATAAAAGGATTATTTATGTGAGGCATGTTTTTTTGAGAAAAAGATGTAGGTGATTAGCATTCTTTTGAATTGTAAAGCCTGGCTGACATCAAATGGATATGGTCACCATGGCAACATTCCTCACATCAATTGCTGTCATCAATGTTCCTGATTAGAGAATTTCTTGAACTGACTGAAATATTCAAAATATCTCTGCGCTTTTCCTAAATTGTTAACAATTCCTGCGTTTTAAAGCATGGGATTCTTATTTTCTTCAGCATCGCTATTAATAATTAAGGTATTTCGTGATTTTATTTCATCTGTTAAAGGTCTATGGATTGCTTCACCATTATGAAATTTCTGTAAATATTAATTTGGTTCAGAAAAGTAAAAAAAAAATTAGATTTTATAAGGAAAATGTCAATTGTGAATATATTTTGACATCATGCATGTAGGGGAATAAAGGTCTGTTTTTGTTTGAAATTTGATTATATTTATAATAGTCAGTTGCCTAGTTCTGATAATGTTTGCATCTCAGGAAAACAGAATGTGATAGGTGAAGTATACAATGAAGGTTGATTTTATTTCCAGGAACACGTACCTTCCAGGCATCAACTTGTTCATCCAATAGTATCTGTACACTCCATTGATGGACGGCTTAGTATTAAGAAGGTCAGTTAGCGATAACTGTACATGTACAGGAAAACCTGCATTTTCATCGTAAACTAACCATTATAACCATAACATAGACATCTTAATCAGTCATCTGCTTCTAGTAAAGTAGTCACCTTCAAACTGTTAATAGCACACTTTCATTTTATTAATTCTAACTTAATTAATTCTGATCAATGTAATTACTAAACATAACCAATAATCATTTCTACTATTTTCTTATATGAAGCTTGCAAAGAGTATGAATGAATAAATGACTGAATGAATGCACTAAAATCTGTTTGTATACTTAATACATTTTTGTCCTAAATGTTTCATTCTGTGATAAATTTAGGTATTTGGTTCTCTGACTTACAAATCATGTTGTATAGATTTTTACTCTTCTGTACCTATGTGTATGTATGTCTATTTTACCCATATATCTTTGATTTCATTGAAACTTGGTACATACCGGATTCTGCCGTAAATTTGCCCATCCGTGTTGAAAAACGCAAGTCTGATTGTTTTGATACTATACATATAAATACCGAGGTGGACCTCTCTCAGATTTGCTCATTTCGTGATGATATCTTCAATTCTCTAATATTGATGAATACTTTTGGTAAAAAGTGATATTTTTTAAATTCTTGTTGAAAACAGCAAGTCTGATTGCTTTGATACTATACATATTGTTCATTTTCTAATGATATTTTCAATTTTTTAATTGAATTGTGCATTGCTAACAGTGGAGCTTTCTCAGCCAGCAAAAACTAATCATTGCTTTTCAATGAAACCTGATAGATGCTCTTGAACAATAACTTGCATAAAAATTAAGCCAATTTTTAGA